CGGCCGCGGACAAATGACGCCGCACCTCGACAGCCGAGGCAAGCGATTGACTTTCACGGCATTGTTGATGCTCATTACGTGCCGTCCTTGGACGAGGAGGTGGTTGCCTTGGGGGCCGGTGAGGATCTCCATGTGCGATGGGGCGGCGATGCCACGCAGACGTGGAAGAGTGTCCTGGGGGCGAGCACGACCACGAAATACGCCCCCGGCACGGGTGACGCTACGTGCTTGAACATCATTGAGAGGCGTGCCGGGCTCTCAGAGATTGTGGTCGGACGAGCCAACGGCGACGTCCAGGTCCTCTCGGCCGCAAACAACAAGTCCTTTGGCCAGCCGACCAAGACGGTTATCAAGCTGGACGGGCGGCAGGATGCGCATCTACAGACGCCGTTTAGCATTTCCCCGGGTCGCCTGGCCGTCGCCTGCACGGACTGGCAGCCCGACACAGACATGCTGGCGACCTGCCGCAGCTCGCATCTTCACTTGTACAACATCCCCCCCGAAAGGGATGCGGACCCCGAACCACTCGCCTACCATGACTTGTCCAAAGACGGGCCCGGCAACGAGGAATCCCTGATTCGAGACGTCAAGTTTCTGGGAAAGACCAACGTTGCCGTGGCCCTGGGGGGAAGTTCCCAGCCCATTCAGTACGGCACCATCCGCCCTACGGGGGTGGACTTTGCGCCGGCGTCGCTCAACCCCGACGCATGCGACGGACGAGACGGCAGGCTTCAGCTCGCGGCGCCCGGCGAGGTGACGAGCGTATGGTCGATACAGGCGGTCGGGCACAGGGCGAACAGCAACCTGCTCCTGAGTTCCTGGCACGACGGGTCCTTCCGGCTGATGGATGTCCGGACGCCCTCGCCTCACGACGCCATATACAGGGATAATTTCCAGCCATACCATGCGGGGGGGCCTCTGCTCGTCTACGGAACCGAGAGGTTTGTTTCCGGGAACAATAATGCCCCGATACTGAGGTTCTTCGACTTCCGCTTCCCCAAGCCGTACTTTCACTCTGCGGCCTTGCCGTGTTCGCCGCGCGAGCCACGGCCCAAAGTCGCGTGTTCGTCCGGAGAGCCGTTCGACGACACGACTGCGATTTGGGGGTGCGAGCCCGGGAACAGTCGCCGGTGCACCTGGCACACGGCCATGGAGTCGCCCTGCTTCAGACAAGACACCACACTGTGGCTGGGGCACCGTGGTATGGACCGTGTCTTCTCGCTGGCAAAGGCGTCAGACGCATCGGATAAGTTCTACCTGGGACTCCGGGGAGCCATTGTAGAGGCGCAGCTGGTTTTGGAACAAGATATCCCTACTCGCCGGCAGAGTGTGCATCGTTGCCCCGCCGGCTGGCGAGTGTCGGCGGCGCCGAACGCTGCCATGGCCAACACAGGCATCAGCTTGTGCACGAGCAGTGTGCACGAGGGAACCCATGGGGACTTGCGCAACGGAATGCCTGAGATTCTGCACCACTACGATGGGTCGCCAAGGAAAAAGGGCCTTCGTGAGTTACTAGACCCCCCGGAAGGGACGCGGTTTGATACTGCTTGGCGACAGCAGGCGGCGGCTAGGCATAGGGGACACTCATCGAGGCGGTTTTAGAAGCATCTCGTGTTGGAATGGGCGAGTTTGGGCTTTTTTTTTGACATGGGGCGTTTTGGGCATAGATTATACGCTGAACGACATTACGGTACAGGTGGGCAGAGTGTGGTAGAAAAGGCGGTATAAAGTAAAAGACATGGTTCAAATCAAAAGTGTATTTGTATATGAGACGACCGTTTCGTTAAACCACATGTAAAGGAAATCTTACAACTTGGACTCGGGGACAATAATTGCTGATTTCTCCTTGAAGGCTTGCTCAGCTTCCTTCTCGATGCGTTTCACCAGCACGTCACACGTGGGGACGTCGTGAATGAGACCCATGACAGGGCCGGTGGTCCAGACCTTGCATCACCACAGGTTAGTACACAAGACGAATTCTCAGGACACACATGTGAATGGAACCGGACTCGTCCCAGCGGGGAGGGTAAAAACATACACCGTACTCTGGGTCACCATTGACAAACACCTCCTTCCCTCTCTTGCCGCTAACCAGAGGCGCAATTTCGCTGAACTCGCCGGTTTGGCTCTCCTTTTCAATCTTGAGCGCCTCGAGGGCAACCTTGTTCTTGAACAGGCGGCTGGTGTTGCGCCATCTTCTCAGGAGCAGAGTGGTGTCGTGCTCATCGCTCTTGACAATGGCCTCTTTGATGTTCTGGTGCACGGGGGCCTCGACGGTAGCCATGAAGCGTGTGCCCATGTTGATACCCGACGCACCGAGCAACAGGGCAGCGGCCAGGCCGTGGCCGTCGGCAAAACCACCGCTGGCAATGAAGGGGACCTTGAGGGTCTGACGAGCTCTGCCCAGCAAAATAAAGTTGGTGATGTCGCTCTCGCCAACGTGGCCGGCACACTCGAAGCCGTCAATGGACAGGAAGTCGACGCCGAGCTTGACGGCGCTCTGGGCATGGCGAATGGTGGTGCACTTGTGGAGGACAATGACGCCAGCCTTCTTCAGCTGCTTGATGACGGGGCCGGGAGAGTTGCCTGCCGTCTCGACAATCTTGATACCCTCGTCAATGATGGCCTGGGCGTAGGCGCCGTAGTCCGGAGGGACCATGGCGGGGAGGAGAGTGATGTTGACGGCGAAGGGCTTCTTGGTAAGGGTGCGGCACCGGCGGATTTCGTCGCGGAGGGCTGCGGGCGTAGGGAAGATGAGGGCCGTGATAATGCCCAGACCGCCGGCGTTGGAGACGGCCGAGGCGAGGTCTGCGGTACCGACGTGCATCATGCCGCCTTGGACGACGGGCACTGCGTAAGACATTAGCACTTGGGAAGTCTTTTGGCGGCCACGAAGCATGTGAGCGGCACTGCCGTGATGGCCGTTGCAAGTAGACGCTCTCTGTAGCTTCAGAATCCAGAAGACACATACCGCGGATGCCCAGCCGCTTAGTCAACTCGGTAACAATAGGCATGGTCGCTTCGTTACTCGGCTACGGATTCGTGATATTGCTCGATGGTGAGGATGCTACCTGAGGCTCGTGACGACAAGCGGATAGCTATCGCAGTAATTGTGGTTGGTGTTTTCTATGCCGACAGACAAGCACGCTAGCTCAAGTGTTTATAATGGTGTACCAAAGACGCAAAAAAGGCTCAAAATCTATATTTGAAAAAAGGACAGAAATCTCTCTGGTAAAATACAACAGCACAAGAGGCAAATGATTGTAAACCAGCCTGCACCGGCTGTAGTCTCGTTGCGTGGCCGAACGACCACGGCAATCCTGCTGCATTATTGGCCCCGAGCCAGCCAAGCCGAGGTTGCGACAGCCACAACTCCACAGTGGCTCCAGCTGACGTCGCATGCCCCAGGTGGGCACGCGGGTTGCAAAAAAGACCGCACACCCCGCACCCACAACCACACACAGAGGTGTGTGGCCTTT